AGGCACTGGTTAACATGTCTAAACCATCACATACAGCAGACCTAATTTTATTTGTTGAATTCCTGGGCTTACCTTACAACTAAGAGGTGAGGGCTGTAATCTATCTTGCAACACCTGGCCTTTGTAGTACAAGACTGATGACTGGAATAGAAAATAAATGGGCAAACTCTTTTTGTTTGTGAAGAGGCAAAGTTTAAATAATCTTTTGAAGGGGCTAGCCATATATACAGAACTTCCTGCTCAGCATAGCTATTTCAACATCTAGTTTGTATCCATTCCTTCTCTTTCAGCCCTGCCTGGGAGTGGAAATTCCAACAGAAATTAAAAGGTTGGGGTAATACTTCCTGAGTTGACGAAGTAGGAAAGCAAAGTGAAAGTATACATACCGCTAAGGTCTGAGAAAAATGCATCACAGTAAATAGTCTGCTCCTAGATTATTAAAACGGCATTGAACAATACATTTCTTTTGGGGCTTCCTTACTTAAGGTGCAGAACACTTAAAAATCTTCTTTTTCAGGTGTGCATATGAAAACATCTACGCATTCCCCTTAATCTATTAGTGCATGCTACCATACCCATTTGTGTTGCAATGAGTAAAAGGAGTGGGAGAAACAGAGGAGTCTATTGATTTGTAACCTTTGCTACTACAGAAATGACAGTCAAAGTAAGTCTGTCTCCCAGACCAACATGGCTAGAAGTGTTACGATGTTCTCCCTCCTGACATAGCCATTAGACACCTGAAAAAAATATGTCTTTGAGAGCATGGAGAAAATAGATCTGCATTCAATTTTAGGAAAAGCCTTCAGGACATTGCTGAGGAACAAGTTATTAAAGTAATTATATTTACATCTGTGATACCAGAGTACTGTTATCCTTTTTATAGTGCCATTTAGCTCCCACAGGCAGGATAGTTGCATTGATTCCATATTGATATGCATGAAACCAACCATTGATATGCAACGCCAACATTTGGGGTAGGAAATGGGCAATTATACTGTCAAAAACGCTCACTAAACATGGCAGTTGAACTGTTCCTGTGATTCTGGGTCCTTCTGCCTTCCTTCTTCCTGTGTATTTCACAGTATTTTCACAGTTTGTATAACTAGTACACGCAGAAAGTCTGAAGGACATGAACATTTCACAAACGTATGTCTTCCTTATCCCTTATATAAAAAAGTTGAAACCATACAGGCCAAGGGTAGAAATCTTTAAATAGAACAATCAGAGACATGCAGATACTTAATATGATTTAACAGTTGAGTTTCATTTCGTTTTAAGAAGTGGCCATTTGTGAAACTGAGATTATGATGTAGGAGAGGTGAATGGTGGTGGGGTGATGGTAACTTCACGAAAATAGCTTCTTAATTTCAAAAGAAATCAGTAAATAGTATTTGAATGGAGCTGAAACTATAATTTTTTCAAATCATCTAACTGTGTGACAATTTATTCTGAGTTTTAGAAGAAAGCTCCTAATATTAGGGAGAGGCTACCAATTCTTACTCTGGAAGGCTAGGATGTAGTGGAAATACTCACTTTATCCTTGTGTATCACTAGGCAAAGCAAAAAAACCCCTCATTCTCAAGTGCTTAGATTAGCACTCTGTGCGTTTCTTTTGCCTCATACTGCAGCTGGCCTATTGGCCTACTACCACATAATTTCTTTAGTTAAAGTAAACTTTTCTTGGAAAAATTCTTTTAAATTGTAAAAGGCATAGATCAAAATGTCATCTTGTTTGTTTCCAGACAGGACAACAGTATAGACTCTACTTCTTCTCTGAGAGAAGACAACAAGCTGGAAGGTCAGGAATCAAAACAAGGTATGTAGTGGAAAAAGGTGAAATTTTGTTTCCTTGATGTTGGGTAGTGACTAATTCCAGTTAACTGATAGCTCTCTTTTGGACAGTAGCTGCAGTCACAGTGAATCATCTTCTTAGCAATCAGCTGGTGCAGGGTTACAAGCTCTCCCTTGGGCCCAGTTCTGGAAAGGAGAGGGGAACATTGAAGGAGAACTTTGGAGCAGGAACATTGGCTTCTTAATTCTGTGAGACTGCATTTTGTGACTAGAAGGAAAATGCAGCTCTTCAAAGTTTGCTAGTTTAGCTTTTGGAACATGACTGAAGCTCTTGCAAGGCTCATTTGTCTCTTCACATCTAGTTTTTCAGGTGAAGAGGAACTTCAGTCATCTCAATTTCTTGGTATATAGGTGATTGCTAATACTGCTATTACCATTTGCTGAATTCTTTGAGAGTCAGTTTTACTTTCTGTTGAGATGATCATATGAGTCTACAGTACTCTGTTTTGACATTCATAGAATCCATTATAATAATTGTTTGCCAAAGGATTGCTTGTAATTTAATCATTTTGTTCAGTCTTGATATATGATACCCTGCTTTGTTCGATCGTGCAAGAGCTAAGGTCCGATGGAATGGTTTTTGACACCCACCGCTCCTTAAAACTGGCATATTTTACTTCGAGTCAGTGCCAGTGGAAGTACATACTCAAATCTTTGAATCTCTGAGGATGAATGTTTTGTGCTGTGTATTTTCTCTTTTTAAATGCAAAAATGTGGTGGGTGAGACATTCAGGTACTACAGTGATTGGCAGAATAGAAAGTGCAAAAGCACGTAAGTTAGTGGTATGCATTTGAGTGCCTGCTGCATAAGGGAATAGTTTTCTTAACCTGCAGCAATATTTGGTTTATTCCAGTCATTAAATCAGCACCATATAACAACTGCCAGTATTATTTTGTACATGAAGCACTAGAATTGTAGGTGTTTCTGTCTCAGTCTATTTATTTTCATTTGGACTAGCTGTATGCAATAACATCAGAAATAGCTTTTCCAATCAAAGAATGTTGCAAATTCTTATAAGCTATATTTCTCTTCTGTGATGATCTGACATTATTTTTGCTTCCTGCAACTCCTATTTCACAATTCAGAATGTTGTCTTGGAATAACTTTGGAAGCATGTTTTTTTCTGAAGTAATTAGTGAAGGGAGTTAAATGGAGAAGTAAAGAGTCATAATAAAAGCATCAAAACTTTTAGAAGCAGGTTGCTATGACTTTGTGAGGAATGGTTTAAATGTTGCTTGTTATACTATACAGAGTGACCTTAGAACTGACAGATTTCCTGCAGATTTCTTCCACTTTTGTATTATCAAAGGGAATTGATGACTGTTGCAGGTGATTGCTTCATTGTTGTTTTTTATGACTTAATCAACCAGAATGTCATGATGGCTTTGGGCTATAACAGTGGCTTCCACTCAAGATGTTAGCTTTAAAGAGCTTTTGAGAATATCAGTATAAATTCAAAAATATAACTCTAATCTTATTCTGCTGAGCTGCAGCCTGTGATGCTATGGGAAGAAAAGAGAGAATGAGGTGATAAGCAAAAGTGGATAAAATAAAATTAAAAATTGGAATCAAGTGTGCTAAAATGAATTTTGCAGCTGTAGCTGAAAGAAAGAGTAGAAGTTATCAAAATGAAAAAGATAATGAGAAATGCCAACAATGTTCTTTATTACTGGGTAGAATTACAACTGTCAAAGAGGGAAATAAAGCCCATCAGCTAATTAAACATTTATAGGCCAATGAGCTTGTGTGAACACTGTATTACAGAGTTTTGGAGGCTCCAGATTCTGAATGGAACCCAGGGCGGCTTTGTCCAGCTTCGTGGTCCATTCTAATTCTGGAACAAACATGAATGACTGTTAATATTTTGTTTCTGCTTAATACGTGACCAGTACAAGAGGAATCCTATGGTGGGTTGACCCCAGCCCAGCAGTAGGCGTTTCCTGGCTGCTCAATTACTCTTCCACCCAGTGGGGTGGGGGAGGCGATCAGAAGAGCAAAAGCAAGAAAACTTACCTGTCAACATAAAGACCTGTAGTAAGTGAAGCAAAAGCTGTGCACTGAAACAAAGCAAAATGAGGGATTTATTCACTACTTCCTATTTGTGGCCAGATTTTTAGCCACTTCGTGGAAAGCAGAACCTCAGCGTGCATAACAGTTAATTGGCAAGACAAATGCCATAATCATGAAGGTCCCTCTTTCCTCCTCCTTTCCTTGAGCTTTTATTGTTGAGCACAGTGTCATTTGGTCAGCTGGGGTCAGCTGTCCTGGCTGTGTGTCACTCCCAGCCTCTTGCCCACCCCCAGCCTACTTGCTATGGGGTCAGAGTGAGAAAAAGAGCGAGCCCGGGGTCCAGCATCAACACCCTTTCAGAAACAAATCCACACCACAGCACCATGCAGACTGCTCTGAAGCAAACTTAACTCCATCCCAGCCAGACCCAGTGCAAAGTCAGTTTCTTTTTGGTGGTGAATTAGGATAAGTAGGCTCAGAAGTTAACTTTCAGGCTTTGAACTACAATCCATTGATACACCTATTTTTTTTGGTTCATAGAAATGCTGCTTGGTTGAGCAGTATGTCAAGTAAATACTGACTGATGCTATGCAGCAGGGCAGAACAACTTCCGTTTCTTAATCCTGTTGATTCCCATTTCTTTTGATCTTTCACTGTCTTGCAAGGTAAAGTTGAAGAGATAGTGTTCAAAGTTGATTTGATAGTATGGGAAATAGGTAAAACTGCATCTTAAACTGAAATATTAATCGTGAAGCTACTGTCACAATAGGAACAGGGCAGAACTACTTAGGATTGAAGGCAGCCCTGGTATGTTCATCTCTTATGAGTACTTTTTATGCACACTGCTGTGAGGAGGATTTTATATAGCTTCAGAATCATTTGTGTTTTAGGCTTTCAGTTTTTATTGCTTGAAAATCATGATTTATCTTGCATAAAACAAAGACCAAAAGTTCTCTGTAAACTTCATTTATATGGCTTATCGTGCATTTTCCAGAGTTGAATTTGCTTTCTTGTCAGCTTTGATTAGAGCATTAGAGGTGCCACATACGTTAGCTGTATATGTCCCATATATGCTGTATTTCCCAGTATGATGGTCAGTTTTTGCAATTCAGTAAACCAGTGTTATGAGGTACTAGACTGATAGCTATGTAAGATCCTAAATCAGGAGAGCATGCTCAGTCAGGGTAACATGCAGTATTCCTGAATTGGGACTTAAATGCTATGACAAATCATAGCCTGTGATCAGGAGTAGATATCTGAATATCTTTTTTTGAGTGTATATAGTAAAAAAATCTTCAATCCTGAATCAATAAAACCCTTGGAGCTATGTTTTAAAATGTTACTATTGTTTATAAAATGAATTTGAGATTTTTTTTAATCGGAAAAAAAATTATTTTCCCTTCCTTCTTCCCTCTCTACCTTCCTCCCTCCCTTTTTTGTTTTTTACACAGAGAAAGTGCTTTTATACCTTTCTTAGTAGTCAGAATTGATTTTTTTGTCACACCCTCAGGATAGCTTTTTTTTTCATAAACCCCAAGAAAAATGGGTCTTTCCTAAGGTTTTTCTGCACTACTCATGAATTAAAACCAAACTCATGCATGCACCAAAACACATTTTAAACAAGAGTAAGATTTTTTCTAAACCCCTATTTGTTTTTCCTTTAAAAGTAAAAGTGGTGTATTTTAAGGTTGGTTGATTAAACTGATTTTGAACAAGGAACAATTGAATTTTTCTAATTTATACTCTACTGCTAATCTTTATACAGAACTTCCACCTAGTGTGAGGGGTTTGCACAAAAACTCAAAAAAAAATACAGATCACTATGTGGATGTGGAGTTTTTTACACTTCACACTTAAGTTTTCAAGAAAATTCTCACATTCTTTTTTTGCATTTTTAAATATTTCCTTTATAATAAGACACTGACTGAGATATTAATGGCATAAGACAAAGACTTCTAAAAATCTTATTTGAAAGATGCTTTACTCTTTTTTTGAAAGGGGACAGAATTGTTTGTATCGGATCTGAAACCCATGTCAAAGGAACACTTACTGAGAAGAAGTATTGAAAAAATATTTCCAGAATTTTTCCAACAGTAAAACATTAAATATGAGCATCTTGAGCAAAAAAGCCAGTGATAGGAAGATAATTAGTCAAAGGTACTAAAATCATAGGTCCCTGCTGTTTTAAACTGCATTATTTTATTTTTTTTTTATTTTTTTTTTTTTATAGTTTGAATGTCAGTAAGATTCTGATTGCCTGATATTAAAAAAGAGCAATTCCCACAGAGGAAGTACTTACTTGGGTTTCCAGTGTATTGGTTGTTTTCTTGATGAGCAGTCCTTGCAAATCAGTACTTCTAGCCTTGCAGATTTGGGGTTCATGAGCCAAAGGTATGGATGGATGAAACTAGGAATTAAAAAAAAAAACCACAACGGTTTGGTGAAAGAGAACCAGATGTCAACATACTGATTTTAAGACTCAGAGAGCCATAGGTTTAGGTTAGAAGGTCTGTTTTGAGATCATTGAACCCAGTCCCTGCTCAAGGTCAGCCAGAGCAGGTTGCTCAGGACCACGTGCTGTCGAGTTTTATTATGTGCAAGGGCGGAGACTCCACAGCCTCTCTGGGGAACCTGCTCCAGGTCTGACTACCCTCACAGTAAAAAAGTTTTTCCATGTATTCAGATGGAATTCCATGTGTTTTGATTTTTGCCTATAGTCACTAGTCCTGTCAGCATGCAGTACTGAGAAGAGTTTGGCTCCCTTGTCTTCATGCTCTCCCATATTTTTAAATTAGAGAATTAAAGAAAATTTAAAAAAACAGGTTTGCAATGCTGTCTGAATATATATTAAATCAAGAATTTTTTTGGTAATATACAAGATCATTATAGACTAAAGTAGCTTAATTAGGAATGTAAGTGTTATTTGAATCTTCACGGTAAGAAGTTATATATATTTAAAAAACACAGATCTTCAGCTCTAAACTCTCATTATTAATTAACAGGGAACGCAGTCATACATTTGGATAGCAGTATTACCAAAACCAATTATAAAGCCTTTTTGAATCAGTAACTTTACCATCATCTGACTACAAATTGTTCGTTTTAAGCAGGAACAAATCCTACTGTAAGTTGGGACAGATACAAAGGGTGGTGAAGGACAATAGTTTCTGAGGCCAATGTGTCAAAAGCAGTAGTCTCTCTGTAGCCAAATTGTGAGAACAGTTACTCAGGTTCTGTTGGAGTTTTGCTTTTATATTATTGCACTGCCTCTTCTAATTTTTTTTTAAGTAAAACTCCAACTGTTAACCAGCTTTAAAAGCCAATGTCATAAGTTTCCCCATGTTTTTACTGAGTTAAATACATCTGAAATACCTGTGATAGATTATGAATAGTTGTACTGTAAGTGGAGTTTCTATTAATTTTTAGTACTGTGTCTGACTATAGTGCCCCACTCCTTTTAAAAAAACATGAAATGTCATTTTTAAAATTGCATTTTGAAGACTAAGTTTGCTTTAAAGGTAACTAATCATTTTTGCACTGCAGAGGCTTCCTTGTGATATAAAATCTTATGACATTTTAATTGGGGAAATAGATCATGTAACTCCATAGGATGGAATAAATTTTCCTGGTACTGCTGCTTTCCTATACTGCATGCTATGTCTAAATTGGCATAAAAATGCATTAACATCTGTATAAATTAGACCAGCCTTAAAAGTTGGAGGAGAAAAAGAAGAGGAAATAGTTGTCTTAAATTCATGGGTCTTTTTCCCACTCTCCTAATCTGCAGGGAAACGCATTAAGCAGAAGCGATTTTGTAAGTTGAAAGAAAAATGGTTCTGGTAGGCGACCATATGATTGTTACGTTTGTGTTACAGGCAAGGGAGAAGATAGTGATGTCCTCAGCATAAACGCGGATGCATATGATAGTGACATAGAGGGCCCATGCAATGAAGAAGATGGCCCAGACGTGCAAGAAAACACTGTCAGAAGTGGAGCCGGTCAGATAGATGACCTTCAGAAGGACATTGAGAAAAGTGTGAATGAGATCCTGGGGCTGGCAGAGTCCAGCCCAAAGGAGCCCAAAGCAGCAACCTTAGCCATTCCTCCGTCAGAAGATGTTCAGCCGTCAGCACAACAGCTGGAGCTTCTGGAGCTTGAGATGAGGGCGAGAGCTATTAAGGCTCTGATGAAAGCTGGTGATGTAAAAAAACAGCCCTGAGATTGTTTAGATTTAATTTTCAGTATTTGTTTTGAAGGATGTGATAACTGTTCTCTTCAGTGGTAAAGTATGTTTGGGTTGGGTATGACATTCCTCATGCAGACCCTGTTGTGTATCCTGACCTGTGGCTTAAGCCATCGGTAGCTGGTTTCATTACCTTTCGTGTGCTGCTTCTGTGACATGCACAGACAGAGTGGTTTGATGCTTCACTGGGATCAGGTCTCTGAGGTTATCTCCTCAAGGTGTCACACAAATGCGTAGAGCCTTCCAGAAAGGTTAGGAGTATCAATTTCTTTATAAACCCATGGTTAAAAATCACCAGCTGTTTTATTTATTAGCAACTTGTTAAACTAGTTGAGAAACTTGATTTATACATACTTCATTAAAAATACCATTTTGAAGAGGTCTTTTCTTGTGTGACTGCCTTCAGCATTCTGTGATGGGATTTGAGATTGCTTATTTCTCCTTGGGGCCCAGCTCATCATAATGTAGCTATTCTAGTTAAAATTAATGATGATTCACTTACAAGCATACTTAATTTTTAGAAAGTTGAATTCCTAAAAGGAGGGATTTTTTCCTTTCAAATAAACAGTTGAACAACATTATTTTCAGAGTTATGAAAGTGCCTGAAAGTGACAAATACCAGAGTTTTTATACTGTTGGTCATTTAATTTTGTCACTTTGCTCTGCTGTTTATCTTATGTGTCATAACTGAAATAAAAAAAATAGAGTTTTTTCTTGACTATGAAGCTTTTTTGTTGAATATTTGGCATAAAATTTAGGACGAGGCAGCAAATCAAACTGTTTAGAGGACCTTGAGTTTTTAATTTTTAATGTAGTCATTTCATGTCCCCTGTAATAGGAAAATCCACCTAATTTCAGTACAAATCTTTTTTAGAAAAGGCATTTAATTTATTTGTATCTATTATATAAGGTTTTAAAATTCATAATTCTACTTTTATCCATTTCAAGGGTATTTGTAAGTAAATTGTATTATAGGATTAATTTTCCTGCTATGATTTCTTACAATAATTAAAGTAATTCTGATTTTACTTAGAATTAGTGGAGGTTTTATACTTGGCTGCTAATCAAACGTATATGAAAATATTTCTGCATGTGTTTGTTTACGTACACACAGAAATAGATTTTTTAAGGTATGAAGTTTACAAATGTGGTCCTTGTTGAGTAAAATGATGTATTATGTATTGTTACTCCTTATTTTCTCTTGGTTGTTACTTAGAAACCACATTAGATACTTTGCAACAGGAGCATAATTTCCACGTGCTATTTTGTATTATTAACTGCAGAGCATGTTCTATTCAAATATTGTGTTTTAAATTCTCTTGCAAGTTTTATAATTTTCTTTTTTCTCCTTTTTTTCCCCTTTTTCCCCTTTATATTGTTTTTTCCCTTTCTTATTTTCACCTTTTTCTCCCCTTTCCTTTTAACCCCTTTTCTGCCCTTTTCCCTTTCTTTGTTGGTAGGAAAGTGCATTGTCTTTAGTAGCAGGATTCTAATGTATTTCTTAAAGTATGATTCCTCTAGCATCAATGGTATTGTGAGTAAAATGGTAGCAAAGTAGTGCAGTGTAAATGTGATTATAAACTAAAACCTTCATTAAGTACAGCTGAGAAAATGACAGTGTGCATTCACTAAATGATGGCAGTGACCCAAGTGAATTACACCTGACTGTAATCAGTTGTCTGCAGCAACAACATTTTTCTGTTATTTTTTAGCAAACATAGGATGTAAGTTAGAATTTATATATCCAATTCAAAAGGTAGCTTAACTGTCTTGGAATACGTGTGTGTTGTCTCCAGTTAATTTCATTTGGCTGTTTGGTGAACCTGTGATTTATTTGAGTACAACGAAACAAAGGCAGATAATGAGAGAGAGGCAGCTGGCAAAACCTAAATGCGCTGTCTTGTTCTTCGTAAAGTCATAGGCTAGTGGAACTATGTTAGACTGTAAAGGTAAGTTTTACTGCTGCTATGCTGATATCTTTAAGGCACTGAATACCTCACTTTGCCTGCTGTGGAAACGAAAAAGCTCACCTGCAAGGAGGGCATTTGCTTCTTAGTCCTGCTGTGCAGCCCTGTCTTATCTGGACCAAAAAGAAAACACGTTCCTTAATTGTTTGCCTCCCTTCTTTCATGTCAGTGTTCATTTGCCAGTTCTGCAATCTGCAGTAGCATTGATGAGGTTTACAAAATCCCAGGCAACATGAATAAACAAAAATCAGTCCCTAATACTGAAGAAAAATGTACAGTATGGTAGTATTTCATTGACAGGACGAATGTTTCTAGACCTGTATCTTTCCTTTTTTACTGGTAGACCCAGCACCCATGGTTTTGTCACCCGCAGAGGTGGTTCCCTGCTGACTACATGCTCCTGTGTGGCTCCTGTGCCACTTCTGCCAACCACTGAGCAGCAAAAGGCTGCTGCATGCAGAAGCCATACCTTGGTAGGCATAGCTTAGGGTGTCCTGGGAAAGCTGAATGTAGATCAGGTTTACTTATAAATATGTTTCCCACACCACTAGGAGATACCTTCAAAGGTTCAAAGTCCTTTCAGCGATGTCCCAGAATGATACATTTGCAGTTGTTTGGCAGCAAGGAAATGCTGCTAGAAGGAACAATAAACTAGAACATAGTTCTCTTCTGCTGCCTACTTGCTGGAGGTATACGGCATTTATTTCTGAACTGAGCTTCATTTTCCTATTGGTTCTCCAGGTCACCTTTAAATAAGTACGATGAACTGTCAAGGTCATTATTTCAAGGTCTGTATCAAGAAGTCGCATATGCTGACTTTAATATGTAGTGTGACAAAGATGAAACAGGTTTACTATGCACATGACAGAGAAGATATGTAATTACAGCCCAATTAAATTTGAAATTAAAAGAGGAGAAGGATTCCAAGAAAATTAAATTACGCTGTTTGCAAAAATAAAATAAAATATACATACATCGTAAGAGAGACTTCATGTGATTCATTACACAAGTGCTAATTAATTTTTAAGTTATTGGACTATTGCTGTGTAGGTTAAGAACAGATGTGGGTTCCTGCATTGATCATATCACTGCACAGTTAAAAAAATCCAGTGTATTTAGAATATTTATTATACAACTGTCTTGTTGTTCACTTTTAAATAGCTCTTTGATTTTTTTTCCTTGAAAAATAACTTTTATATTTCACTTGGAGGAAGAGGCAATTCATATGTAAAATGTAATCATTAATTATTTATGAAACCTTAAAATAATTTTACTGGTTTTTGATCCACCACTTTGTTGGGAAAAAATATTACAAACTGGGTGTTGGTCAGCATGAGGACAAAGATCCTGATTATATTTTGGACTGCAACAGAAATATTTTCTAATGAACATTGGCTGTCCATACAGATGAAGCACAGCGCTTTTTTGAGGAGGAGGGTTGATTGTGTTTGTATTAGGTAAATAAAAAGGCGGGATCCCCAGAGAGCCAAAAGTATCTATTATTTCTGTTTAGAGGCTTTGATGTTATTTATATGGTGATTTTGTTGAGAATAATAATTAGACTTCAAGATGCCACTTCCGAGAGACAAATCACAGGCATTTCCTCAGAAAAGAATTAGTTCTGTTTGTAACACTCTCTTCATTACAGTATTTGCTCTCAGAAAAATACTCTGCTGAACAGACTTAGTGCCTTGCAAAACTTTTTTTTTTTTTTAAGCTATGTTATAAAATCTGTTCTTTGCCATTTAAAATTACTGTAATTGTTAATTGCAGTGGATGGAAGTTTTGATCGCTGGCTTCAGGTGGCTTCTAAGTAGCCACAGAGGTTGCACGTAGGGGATGAAGAAATCATCTGTGTAGGTGACATCAGATGCTGCTGTTCTGGCTGGGTATGGTTGAAATGCCACATGAAACAGGAGCAGCGCGTCTCGCCGAGCGAGGCAGCTGGGTAGCGTTCTCCTGCCGTGGTGCCTGTGCTTGAGGCAGCTCGGTTCCATGTGCAGCAGCCACCCCGGGAGTGGGGCAAAATGTCTCTTCACCGTCTGATTCCTTGAAGCTGTGAAGATCGTAAATGCCAGCTTGGTTATTACTATTGTTTTTTAAGTATTAATCTACAAAAGCACTTAACTGGAGTTGCTTTGTTTTCATCTGTGGGTAAAGCATGACAAGGGCTTTTTAAAAAACAGCAACTGAAAAAAGGTTTTGTGCACGTGAATGTGTGGTAGGTTGTTGTATGGCATTTTACACACCCATCTTAAGATAATAAGCACTGATTTAGCTTTATATCACTGATGCTGGCAAGTGTGCCCTTTTGACAGAAGATAATTGAAGATTCATTGCAAAATAGGTCCTTTAGTCAGGAAGGGAGATGAGGTGGTTAGTTGATGTAGAAACATAAAGAACAACAGCATTACTTTAGGAGCATAGACACCAAATTAAAAACTGATTATGAAGTCCCAGTAATCTAAACCTTTGTGTTTATTGCTAAGTCAATCTGCAATATAGGGAGAGAAAAAAAAAGTTTGTTCAACCTTATTTATGGCCAAATTTAATTGTTAAAACACTGGATTTTTTTTTTGTCAAGTCTCATGTTTCATGGGTCTTTCTTGGCATTAATATTAAAATATGTAAACAGAATACGTAAAAGGTGATGAAAAGTCTGAAGCTTGTAAAAAGGTTTAGCCACATAACAGTTGATCAAACTGACTCTGTAGTCAGACAGGGAAAGACCCCGAAATCATAGATGTAAGTACTGAATGGTTATTAAATTGCAGAGCACAAGTAATCTGTGTTAAAAAAAAAAAACAAAAAACAAAAAAGCATGTTCATTCAGTGCATCTGCAGAGCACAAGTAATCTGTGTTAAAAAAAAAACACAAAAAAGCATGTTCATTCAGTGCATTACTGCTTTCTTAAGCACATGGGAAAATACTGTCTTTTTTCGTGGCATCTGTCTTGATTATTGTCAGACTCAAAACTGAATTTTCATCTTTTGTATCTAACGGTTCTGCAAAGTTGTTCTTTATGAGTATCTTACACCACAAATTGTCAAATCTATGATCTTGCATCCTATCTTCCATTTTCAGACTGGAGTTGATCTTACTCGACTCACAAAATCACAGCTTTACTTCCCTGGAATACCGTGTGCCATTCTGCATGTTTGTATCGAAGACATGTTGGGGGTGGAACCAATGCAGGCAAAGGCTTCTAAGGTCACAGAGGAACAGGGGACTTGAGGCATGACAAGGAAAGCTTGTTTAGTCTAAACCTGTTGAAACTTGCCTGTAAAGACAGTCAGAAATAGAGTACTGGGAAAGACATTTAAGCTGAATATGAATACTGGTGAGGAACTACGAATATGTTTTGATTAGGTTACTTGTTCCCAGGCTGCCTCTTTGGTTTCTCCCTACCCTACCACTGTTGTGCAGCTAGCGTTTACGTGGGCATGTAGAGAACTACATCAGGAAGCTCATTCGAGCAGGGAATCCTGTCCTTTTCCTCCTCCCAACCCGGATCAGCATCCTGATCGAATTTGCTGTGTTGGCACAGCAGAATGAGTGGTGAAAATCTAGCTGCTGAAATTGGTGCTGGATTATCTCGCACAAGCGATACCCCGGGTTCTCCTAGGCCTTGAGATACGAGGCATCAGAATTAAGGTCTGTGATTTAACTCCATCTTGTTGAAGCAATGTAGATCTTCTCTCAGAAATGGTAGCTGAATTGCTCCAAACGTAAACTCTTCTAGCTATTAAATTTGCCAATCTACATACTTCTGATTATTGGTATTTTTTTTAAGCAAAGCCACTGTAGTTGTTACCATATGAAGTCTGGTTAGTGTCTCATAATTGTATGGAATTAAACTTTTGAATTGTATCCACACTAGGGGGCTGTGTTGCTTTAGCAATGTCTGCTTCCAAGCGCTATATACTAAGAGCAGAACCCAAACCATATAAACAAGTTGTAAGCACTACTTTTTCCTACATAAAAAAGGGGATGGGAGCAGAATAGTAAAGGAGAATGACTTGCAATTTAGACAAATATAAGGCAGGAGCAAGGAAAATTTTGTTATATACTTAGATGAAATGTTGAAGTTTAAGGATGAAGCGATGCTCTCATTGTCTTGAGATGAGTGGAAAGACTGAGACCAGCGCCCTGGTTACTTCAGTCCTAATGTGCCACTTCAGACCTGGGATGCATAACCCAGTTTGCTGGAATTGGGGAGAGGTGGGTTGCTCTTCATCGAGATTTAGCAACCATAGCATTTTCTCCTCCATGACAGGGAATTTCTACACACTGCATATCCCAGTGCTTCTGCTTTAGTGTCCTATTTCTTTGGCTGCACCAGTTCCTGTATCACTATAGGTTGTGGGATTGCTTTGTTACAAATACAGGCATTCCTTAAACTATCTTTTTAGGAATCTGTCTGCTCTATATCCCAAGCAAAATTAAGTTTAATTGTTTGATATCTTCTCCAATTTGCTTTCCAGGCCTTATCAGGACATTGATGTAGAGGTATACTGAAACTCAAGTGGATGCAGTATTGGAAAATTAACCAAAGGGACCTCCTGCTGTTGTAACGGCAGGTAATGTCTTTTCTATCTTCAATTTCTACTAACCCTTTTAAATACCCAGTGGACCCCAGCAGCTCTAGTAATGGATTTCCTTCTTTAACTGTAAAAAAGGGTATTTTAAAGAAATAGGTTTCTTATGGAATTTATCTTTCTACTAAAATGCTCTAGAGCTATTAATATTGTTCCCAGGAAGTTAAAATAGATAGCATCTACCTAAAGTAGGGCCCTATTTAGAGACTCCAAGTTCCCTTTAAATTCCTGAGCCTAAGAGCTAGAACCCACTAAGAGAAAGAGTTAGGAATCAGGATTTAGGTGGAATTTAGGCCATTTGAACACATCTCTTCTTGCCATATATTGGTGTTGGGTCACATAATACTAGAGCTTCATCAGTTGTTTCATTAACCCACATATTCTTTTAAAAATACAATAGTTGTCTCTGCTTTTCAGGAGAGCCCATTGAGACAATTCCTGTGCTTTCATTGTTTTAAGAGTATGCCTTTATACATGTCTTAGCATGATGATGTTTATCATCACTAAATTATTCATTTGGTGAAATAAACTGATACAGGAATTGGTAGATCATGGTTTTATTAAGTCTCCAGTTAGTAAATCTTAGTCCCGTTGCAAGAATAGTGAGACCCTGCAGGCATCTGTGTCTGTTTGCAGGCTAGGGTCATTCCAGTCTGGTGAACACCAGTCCGTTCCTTGCACTTTCACTACGTTGGGACGTTTTAATAAAAACATCGTCTGGCTGAGAACTGAGAAACAAAGTTTACTAAGATTTTTATTGTCTCATGAAAAGAGTGACATGTCAAAGATGCAAATGACTGAAGTGCTTTTTAGTGGATCAGTTTTTGAAAGTACGTTACTTAACTGCCACAGGCCTAAATTAACACTGAAATTTGTATTGGGAAGCCAAGCCATGAACAATAGAGGGGGAGAAGAGAGCGCCTAATTATACCTCTACTTGCTGCAGAAAAAGGTAATGTTGCCAATATTGGTCACTAAATATCAAAAGGCCAAAGGGAATGGACTTAACTGAAGTGAGAGCTGTGGCCAGTGAAGAATGGCAGCTCCTAAAGCTGTTGGGATATAATACATGCTTATCACTGAAAACTGGAATCAGGGTCAGGAAATCAGCAGGCAGTGTTTAACATGGTCAGCATGTAAACCTGGTTAGAATTGCAATTCAGACTATCCCTTTAATGTTGGAAAAGGGTCTCTGGTAGAGTAGCTTTAATTTATTGTTACTTTAGCAATTATATGTATCAAGCAAATCTCTAAGTGCCAATTTTTCTATGGGCTATTACATTTTATATTATTTATTTTATGGTTTATATT